GTTCCACTGCAGCAGCAGAAATGACTGTATAAATTTCTGCTACAAGGATATTTTATAAACGTTCAACTGAAATCATATTTAAGTCTCTTTTTAGTGTTTGTCCCAGAAAAGGACCGAGTCTCACCAGAGGACAGCGCACACCACAAAACAAAAATAGATGAGGATAAGCTGCTGCTAATCCGCTCAGAGTTTATTGAAAGAGTGTCTGCAGAGGGTTTAAACAAAATTGTAGATAAACTCCTCGAGCGTCATATTATAATTGATGTAGAGATGGAGTCTGGGACATGTGAGACAAAAAGCAGAGCAAATAAAGTGCGATGCATAATCGACACCGTGCGACGAAAAGGAAATGACGCCTGCAGACATCTGCTCGATGTTCTCAAAGAGGTGGACCCAACCCTTTTCAGAGTGATCGTGCCAAACGAAGCCAAAAAAACCTCCAAAGAAGCTCATGAGCTGTGGTGCTAAAGTCTCACGTTACTCAGTGAAATCTTGAAATGACCAGTTTTTGTAATCACTCTGAAAGTGATTCTCTTGAACCAACTTGGACTTGTTTGAATGGATGCTGAGCAGAAAACCAGATGGAGTTGTTAACAATCTCAGACTGCTTCATAATGTTAAAGGTGTTTCCGTAAAGTTTAGTCATTCCAGCTTTCGCTCACTAGATGGCGACAGAAGATTGGTGATAGAGGCTGTACCTCACACATATAGACAGGAAATGTGCACGTTAACATGATGTTTATCAGTTTTAAACTGATAGAAATGATATTTTTAAGTTTTACTCAAACTATTTTTAAATAATCCCAGATTAAATGGTAAATGGACTGATTCTTATATAGTCAAGTACTCAGATTAACAATAACAATTTCAAGGTGCTTTATTTTGGAAGGGAAAGACTTGGTCTTCAAACTTTGGTGGTTTGAAGGATTCTGGATCAACGCTGCAAGTTTATTTTTTTCAGTCTTGATCATCTGAATCAATCAAATTAATGTTACTGTGAAATTATTCTAATTATTTTGTACAAATTTTGGCTGTTATGTGTTTACTTTGCATTAGTATTAGTAACCATCTGTCTTAACTGTTCCTTATGTGATTAAAATCACCACAGTTTGGTAATCACACAGATTCACGTTTCCTTCCTCTCTGCTAATAAATGAAGCCATTAAATTTCCTCTAAAAGTCTTCAGTCAGTTTCCTCTGACTTCCTGTATCACACATACAAAAGTTGACAGGGAAGAGCATGTGTGACACAAAAGACCAGGGCCCGTATCCCTAAAGATTCTGAGAATCCTCTCAGAGAGCTCCTAACTTAACCTAAAAATTCCTTGCCAGGAGTTTTAGCTTAGAAGTGATTCCAGAACATTTTCAGTGAACTCTGAGCAAGGAATGGATGGAAAATCCTATCTTAGTGAGGAGGTGTGGTTGACCCCGTTGCTAGGTATGAGTCATCATTTCAAAAGCCGTGATTGGTTGATCCTACAAGTTTGATGGAAATGAGCTTTTGGTGATAATGAGCAAAGGATGTACCCTCAAATCAATAAACATATTATATACTCTAATCTTATGCTGACTGTAATTGTAAATAATATTTCACATTCAAGAAAATATCTGGAAAATGAATAGTAAGCTGTAGGGGTTATAGCCATTAGAATCTAAAATATGTGAAAACTTAAACTCATTACACCCTGTTCAAATAATGATTCGTGTCTTATTTGCTCATATTAATATCCTAGCTGACATATTTTGTACTTTCACTCCCATATGGACCCTGTTGAAAACAAGATGGCCTATCTCAAGAGGCTGTCCTTAATGAAGTAGAAATCACAACGTTACAAGTCCAGTGTGGTCTTAACGAGGGTAACACGGCTCAGCTTTTAGCAATGTCTGTGATTGCATCTCAAGTCATCACTGCTGCATTGTTGCATTTTCCCGGTTGCCAAATACCTCGGGGTTGTGATTACTTTCGTCTCCGGTGTAATAGCGTTGTGGCGTCGAGTTGGTGAAGTAATTGCATCTCTAAGGAGATCCACCACAAACATGATTCCTGCACAATCCAATCTGTAGCGTCTCAATAATTCCCTGTCATCCAGTGTTTGCAGGACATCTCTCCTGCCTCTTCTGTTGGCCATTTTGTGCAGCTGCTTAGGGGAACTCCTGAGCCACTAAAAGTCCTCTTCCCTGCTCGTAGCAGATCTCGCCTTAGGAGCCCTTTTAAGCGCTAGGAATCTTAAGGAATAGCTTTTATATTAACTGGGATTGCCGTGTCACTTTTAGGGGAAATTCTAAGAAAACGTCATGACTCTGAGAATTTTCTTAGAATTTGGCCGCTAGGAGCCACTTTTTGCACAAAGATTCTTTAGGGATACGGGCCCAGAGGTCTGTAGCATGAAGATGGCTTTTGTTTTATCCCAGTAGCTTCAGGGCAGGTGGGTGGCATTTCTGTTAATATCTGCTAATATTGTAAATAATTACTGTTGAGCGTGTGAGAGATGTGAATGAGGTTGATGATAGCAGATAAAAATAAGCTGCAGTGAGAGACGACTCTTTCATCTCTGTGTCATGAAAAGAAAGATATGGATGTAAAAGCTAATAAAGGTGAAGTTAGGAGGTGTGAAAACAAACCAGGAGTCAGACTGTGGGAGGACTTCAGACAGAAGTTGTTAAATACAGAGAGAAGAGTTGGAAATATGACAGAACATGTGAGACATTTAGAACAATAAACTATGTATAGCAATGTAAATGTGGGAGGGGGCACTGAAGGTGCTGATTGTCAGCTTTCCCTATCCAGAGTACTGCTGCAGCTTCATTAGCCTCTGCTAACACTACATACCTCAGCCTGCCACCCAACTGTGGCGATGCAAATGACAGGAAACAGGAATAAATGCCGGACACAAGAGACACCCAGAAGGTTTATGTAAGGCTGCCAGTGCATACTTTGACAGAGAGTCTGTGAGGCAAACGACCCGGGCGAGGAAAAGCCCCAGAAATCAGCCTAAACATCTTCCAGGCGCACACTACAGCTCATGCTGTGAAACTGGCCTGTTTCTGTGGGGCAGGTCACTCAGGAAGTGAAGAGGACTATAAACTAGTGATGGGACGTTCTGTATCGAGGCTTCGGAGCGTGTGTCGAGTAATTGAGGGAGCGTTTCCGCGAAGCGCGTATCGAGGCTTGCTTCATTTATGGGAGGAGCTGAAAATGATGACGTCCGAAGCCTCGCTGCCCGGCTGTACCACGTGACTGGTTCATGAAGTGGTTCGAACTTTGCCGCGAGCTATGACAGCGATATAAACCCCTCAGACTTCATTCAAAATGTGGGTGTTTGATGGAGAGTTGTTAGTGAGAGTTTGGAGACAGTTTGGAGGTTTATGAGAGTGAGGAGAGAAAGTCAGGAGAGAATGGAGCCAGCTAAGAAGAGGAGGATGTCCTCCCCTGTGTGGGAACATTTTGATTTTATTCCTCCCAACAAGGTATGTAAATTTCTACAGAAGATGTATTTTCATGATACTGATGGTGCAATACAATTTATGTTGAGCTGTCTTGACTTTTGTACAAGGTGAAGTGTTTGCTATGTGCCAGGGAGCTGGGATATAACAACAACATCCATGCTTAGGCACTACAGAGCTTTGCATGAGAATAAGGGGAACACCGATTGTGGAGCAAGACCAGGTGAGCCATCAAATGCAATGATAATACAGCATGCAGTAATGTTACTAAATGATATAACAATATTATACAACTGTTATAAGTTACGTGTGTGATATTTAAACTTGTGCTTTGTCTTTATTGTCTTTCCTCAGGAGAACAATCTCAAATAGATGAAGACCTGGTTAGCATGGTGATTGAGGACTCACAGCCAGTTAGCATTGTGGAGGACAAAGGATTTAAAAGATTTGTTAAATCATTAAATCCTAGCTATGTTCTCCCCACTAAAGGTTATAAAAGCAGTGAAAATTTAGTTTTTACAGAATAAAATGTGAACAGGCAGGACTGAGGCTCAAAGCCTCAGTGTGTAGCTGTCCATACCTCAACGTTACAAAAGCACAACCACTGTCCACACCCCACCCACACCTCACCTCACAGTAAATGATCATTTCCATTTTAAGCATTTCCAAATAATCATTTCCCATACTGCCACTATAAATATACACAGTATACTGCATCACTACAATATAGATGTTTTACACACTCCTTTTGTTGTTGACATTTACAGGCTGTGTGCAAAAGGCCACACTCTTCAAATTCATGCCAGCTATTATTTTTACGTCCAGTAGGTGTCCTGCTAGAGCAAATGAAGCTTCATGAAGCTTCGCGTTGGGGTGAACCAATTGGATGAAAAGCTTCAGTGCTTCATGAGGCTTCATCTGCCCATCACTACTATAAACTAAGAAAGGTTCGACTGTAATAAAAGCTCTCTCATCACAACTCGCTCACATTTTAAACATGTTTACCTTCACAGATGATCTGACCACTGCCACGACACGCGAGAACGACATGACGGTGATGAAAATGAGACAAAGTTACAGATAAGAGGAAGTGAAAATGTGGAAAGTACAGAGGATTACAAAATAAGACAGGACATGACTTGAAATAGAAACTCAAAGTAAAGATGGGGAAATGTACTTGTCAGGTTTGGACACGAAGGATGGGTGAGATAAAACACTGTGTGTGGATCCTTTCCACGCATTTAATGTCATACACACCTTTAAAGTAACTTTAAACATACAGCCTGCTGATGTTCGTCTGTACTATCATTATCATCGCGACTCTGTGTTTGTGATGCATTTTTCACGCTGGTTCAGCACTGAAAGATTTAGGTTGAAGTAAAACCAGTAAAAGCCTGCGTGACAGGAGCTTTGAATCCCGTGTTGAAGTTTGTTTGCAGGATTTAAATTTCTTTAAAAAATATCTTCAGACTTGGGGGGGAAATGTTTCTTGTGCAGAAGTTTTTAAAGTTCCCGTATCTCTCTCACACACGCCTGCCGAAATCCAGCTGATTTCCTGTAAACGGAGGGGGAGGAGAAAGCAGCCGCTGATGGGGCAGTGTGAGGGCGCAGGAAGCAGAAACGTCGAGCCTGGAGCAGGGTGAGTGTTACTTCAGCTTTCTCCTGCGCTTCTTATCACAGTGTTTTATTCCGTCTTTTAAACCTGCGTGACTCGGTGAAGGGTGGGTGAAACAGATCAGAGTGAGCCCGAAACTGTGTTTGACTTGTTGAAAAGATTCTGTTTTTTAAACACTGCGTGTTTTAATCACTTCCTGGGGGGGGTGAGCGGGATTTGTGGGACACGGCTCCTGTATCGATATCTAAACTGGTGATCTCATATCGTCGTAGTAAAACATAAACATAGTAAATGTTGTTGCAGGATCAACATTGCAAGTGATCAATCACGTTGTTGTGACGTTATTCTTTGGCGCGCCGAGACATTCGTGCATTTATGAAATTCCAGTGTTGCAAGGACAACATCAGTTCTGCTCAGCGTTTATTAAAGGGTCAGGGTCCGTTGATCGGCGGACAGAGGCGGTTTCTTGCAGCTTAAGTACAGTTTTTTGTTTTACGGCGGTTTTTCCCGAAGTCGCAAAGGCATTACGTCACAACATTCTGATTGGTCACTTGCAGTGTTGATCCTGGAACAACACCAACACGACGATATCAGATCGTGCGGTCGGTGACACTGGTTTACAGCTGGAGTCTGTTTATCTGACTCCATCACCATAGCAACCGCCCAGGAGGCTCGTCTCTCGGGTATAAACTGGTCGCGCTACACAGAACGATGTTCACCTGGTTTCCACGTAAGGACCGCTTAGCACATGGCCGTGTCTTCTCCACGTACACCGGCTCCTATAAAAGCATAAACACGCCGGCTATTTCCGGTTTGATAATCTGACTTGTGTTTTCGTTTGTGGCATGTGAAAGCGCCTCCGGTTAGCCCCACTTACCGCTTTCGAATCACCAAGTTCACGCCGGCTACCCTGGAAATATTTTTGCGCACCTATATGGTTATTTACGATTCACGGTGCTTTTAGGTGCACCTCGGGTTGTTTAAAGGGCCTTCTGGGGTTATTTCCCATGGTGGGATAAACTGATGTGACTTTAGATTTAAAAAGGCTTCACAGACAGCAGATCCTGTCATTGCTTCTGCTCGTCTTTGGATGTTGGTGCCTTTTGTTCCATTCTCTGTGAGCGCACGTGAAAACGATCACAGATGTAGTTGAGGACATTTAATAAGAACGTGGCGGTGCTGGTAGAAAACAAGCCTTTCTAACAACCACACAGGTGCACAAATTACTTTCGAGTGTAGCTGGAGATGGAAGGAAAAGAGGTCTTTGGTTCGAGGCACTTTTGACATCTCTAACCAAGTCGTTTTCTTATTGTTGGACAGTTACAAACATGAATTTCGACTCAACACTGAAAGCATGTGACGCACACTTCTTTGAACTTTAATATATCACAGCGATAAAAACTATGCTACTGGATCTCTAATGCAACACTGCAACAAGATGAGGTGCAAATTACTAAAATGCTCCATAGCAAAGTATTAAAATGGGACTCGGCCGAAGAAAAATCTGCCTTCTGGCTCCATCACCAGCTATAGTCCCTCAAAGCATCCTTCAGCCCAGGGGAGTATCCAGAAGTCTGTGTCTTTGACGGATGTCCTCCAGGATCAGTCTGCAGGCATCAGCGTGTGTCTCAGTCTTTTCGAAACATTGAAAAACATTTGCCATAAAAAGAATTTTGCATATACATTTTAGGAAAACTGTTATTTTTTTTTATCTATTTTAATCCACATGATAAGGGGAAGAAAAAATAAATACGTTTGCAACATCATCATTATACAGAAAGAAACCAAAGACTAATTTCAAATGGCTAAAGCAATCCTCACCCACACTGCAGTGAAGACCAATAACTGCATTTTACAGACATGTAAACTATTCAAATTAGTCTTAAAACCTTTCCATAATCCCGACAGAGAGGAACAGGATGCACATTTCTTTATTAACTCTGAAAATAAACAAAAATTCACCTGTTAGTGAAGCATGACAGGAATAAGGTGATTCTCTACATGTCTGTGTGAGACAGCTAATATGTATCAGAGCAAACCGGTCAAACCTGACTTTAGATAGAAAAACGTGCACAGACATGCAGTGTGTTTATTATGGATGACTGACACATGAATTCAGGGATTAATAAGGTATTCTGATTCTGATATTAGCAGCACGGTGGTTAGCACTGTTGCCTCACAGCAAGAAGGTCCTGAGTTCAATTCCAACATCAGGCCGGGGTCTTTCTGTGTGGAGTTTGCATGTTCTCCCCGTGTTTGCGTGGGTTCTCTCCGGGTACTCCGGCTTCCTCCCACCGTCCAAAGACATGCAGCTTGTGGGGATAGGTTAATTGGATAATCCAAATTGCCACTAGGTGTGAATGTGCGAGTGAATGTGAGTGTGAATGGTTGTCTGTCCCTGTGTGTTGGCCCTGCGACAGACTGGCGACCTGTCCAGGGTGTACCCCGCCTTTCGCCCTATGACAGCTGGGATAGGCTCCAGCGCCCCCCGCGACCCTAAAAAGGATAAGCGGAAGCGAATGGATGGATGGATGATTCTGATATTATGCCTGAAAAATGCTCGGGACAGTACGGCACCTAAAGCAAAGCAGAAGTCCCCCTGCATGAATGTGGCGTGGTGACAGCTCCAGGTAAGCTTGGCACAGAAAAGTAAGGAAATGTATATTTGGTGTATCTGTTTTTCTTTGTTGTTGTCTGTTACCTTTTTCTGCCACTGACATGCTGGATGTTGTGTCAGACCTGAACACACCAACACGTGTTTCAAGTTTCACTTATTTCTAATGTTCAGCTGTTAGTTTAACAGCAGCACAAGCAGTACAGTATAGTGGGAGAAATAATTATTAGATCTGCAGCTGATTTTGTACTTACAAAGAAATGAACAGTTTCTAATTTGTGTGGAAGTTTCATTTCAACGGAGAGAGACAGGATATCGACCAAAAATCCAGAAAAACTCCCTCCCATCTGTTACAACGTAGTGTGGTTCCTCCACGACACAACGACTTGCACGGAGCTCCAGACCGAGGTCCATTGATGGTCACTATATTTTTTCCATTTCAGAATAATGGCACCAACAGTTGTCCCCTTCTCACCGAGGGTCTTACTGATGGTTTTGTAGCCCATCCCAGCCTTGTGCAGGTCTACAGCCTTGTCCCTGACCTCCTTTGATGGCTTTTTGGTCTTGTCCTTGGTGGTGGAGAGGAAAGAAATTGAATCTGTGGACAGGTCTGCTTTATGTACAGTGTCAATCTGCAGAAGCCAAAATTCTGGGAAGTAGTAGGTCATGTTTTGTTGGTGGACGAAATATTTATTTCAATCAGAGAAATGCAAATCAGTTTAAATCTTTTGTGTATTTTCGTCTCTCGCCCATTAAAATAAAACTTCCATAAACGTCTGACCTGTTCGTTTCTTAGTGAGCAAACATACAAATTCAGCAGAGGATCAAATCATTTTTTGATCCTTCACTGTAAAGTACTGCTGTGATGATCGTGAATTCACAAGATGAATGATCTTTGGCAGCATTACTTTTACTTCCTGTCTCGTTGCTCTCAGCTTATTTGCAGCACTGGTGTTATAGTTATAGTTTTATATTGTAATTGCTCTTCATGGGTCTCTATGACCTGTTCCTCAGATAATGTGTGTGGAGGAGCTCAGTTGATCCATTTGGTTTAGAAGAGTTTGCCATACGTTATTATAGAAATCACTGTTATTTGATAAATAAAAAATAATCAAACTAATTTTTATGAAGCTTTGAATTATTTGTCATTTCGTGATTGGTCATAGATTGAAAGGGGGCACTGCTCCAGCAGGTTGTCTGTGTCTGCCAGTTGTCAGGTTTTTTTTAACTTTATTGCTTTTTTAGTTACGTTGTTGTCTGATTTTGAGCCCGAGGAAATCCTTAAGCATCGGCTTGTGCTCTGTGGAATGTGTTTTTTTTATTGGCAATCCTGACAGTTGTTCGAAGTCTTTGTCATTCACAAACAATTACATACTCACGGGAGTTTCTTCTGGATCTTCAGTGGAATCGCCCGTCTCTGGATTCTTTTCACCCTTCAGTGTTTAACAGCCCTGGATTATCCAGTAATCACAGGAGCACTTTAGATTTTAATAAAGTCAAAATAAGGAAGTGGTGTAAGAAGGGAGGTCTACACAGCGATTGAGAAAGCGAATACGATACAGTCGTTTTCCTTTTGCCATCAATAATCCTGGCTAATGTGCAGTCTCTGAGGAGTAAACTGGATGAACTGCATTTGAATGTCATGCATTTACGTGTCCACAGGGATACATGTCTAATGGTATTCACAGAGACTTTGCTCAGGGATTCTGACCCTAATTCTCTGGAATTAAATGGCTTCGGGTTTCCCATACGTTTGGATCGGGACCCCGGAGTTACCCAGAAATCTCACGGAGGAGGAGTGTGTTTATATATTAATCAGAAATGGTGTGAAAAGAGATCTAACCCTAATAACAAACATGGTCTTCGAGAGCTCTTATAAGGCTGATTTATGAAAGAAAAAAAGCTTTTATTAAAGCTTTGTCCTTTGATGAAAGATGGGTGGGAAATCTTTTTGAAACAATTATGACTAATAAAAGTCCAGCGCCTGATAATATGTGCTACAAAATGTGTGCTGAGCAATTATGCGGCATCTTTTCGTACATCTTTCTTTTATCATGTCAGCAACAGAAGGATCCAGAAAAACTCAATTATTTCTCCAGCTGCAAAAACACAAAACCTACATCATTAAATTATTTTAGGCCTGTTGCCATCTTTAGTGATGAAGTCCTTTGAAAGACTTATAAGGAAGGAGATTCTGCAGCAGGTAGAAAAGCTTATCAATCAACTACAATTTGCACACAGGCCTCGTAGAGGTGTTGATGATGCAGTGACTACTTTATTAAATTTCTTATATCACCATCTGGATGGGGCCAAAGCTCATGCTCGGCTCTTATTTATTGATTGTTCTTCAGCTTTTAATACTATCCAGCCACACCTCTTAGCCGATAAATTTCTTAATCAATTTAAACTTGATTTTAATCGCGTTAGTTTGATTTGAGACTTTTTAAATTTCTCTACTGGTTCACCACAGGGTTGTTGTCTCCCTCCTCTACTACTTGGTATGGTAATTTGTCTTTGATCAATAAGACTAGACTTAGTAACCTGGTTAAAGTGGCTGGTCAGATTTCAGGGAGGTCTAAGGTCCAGCTTGTGGACTTTTATAACAGGCAGGTGCTGTGGAAGACAACCTCTGTTGTATTATGTTCAGACCGTCCTCTGAGCATTACACGATAGCGGACATACCGCAAATCAATTTCCCACTGGGGACAATAAAGTTACCATTGACCATGGGTGTTCCTATGCTGGAGATGTCGTGAATATTTGAATGAAGATGAGTGCAATAGCTTTGAATGACACTGTGTTCTGTCATTATTTGTTCACATATTGAAATATAGTCATTCAATTATTTGGAGCAACATTTTGAAATGTAGGACAAATGTCTCAGAATTTAGTGTTTGAATGTGTCTCATATTAAAAAAATCAGTCTCTCTAACATCTAAATGGTTCTTTTCTCCCTTCCTGTGATTTAAGAAAAACCCTCACATTCGCGTCCTCCTGAGACCCTGCCCATTCATTTATGTTTCATTTATGTAGTGGACACACACAAAAGTTAAACTGACAGATGCTTTTTTCACGCTATTGCACTGATCACTGCTTTTTTCATTATTTCAGGGTGACCACTGGCCTGAACCACCTCTGATCAGCTTTTCTGGAACTGAAAACTCGATGTTTCCCCTCAGCTCAGAGCTTGGGGTCAAACAAAGGCCCTGAGCTCACAGTCACCTCTCATACTAAAGTGTAGAAAATGAATAATTGTGTGGAAAATGAGAAGGACGGCGCCGACTCTTCACAATGTAACAGTAAGCAGTCCAAAGCAGATCCACTGGCCTTCAGTAATGAACCCAGAGCCTTGGACACAAAGTAAGAGAACTGCCACTGACTTATTTTTAATCTCTTTATCCCAGAGATGCCATATTATATATACAACAGTGTAAATTAAGTAGATCCTGTTTCTGCTTTAAAATGTAGTGTAACTTTCTTAAGGTGGATTCTGGAGAGAGTATGATAAGCTGGAAATATGGAATGTATTTCTGTGTTTCAGATATTTGCTGCAAATGATTTCTAGTTGAGAGAGAGAAGAATTAACTTGGGAGATTATCCTGCCTGATTCTTAATTTGTGGTTGTTGTTTTTTTAAAAAGAAAAAAGAAGAAGAAAAGAAGAAAATAATGTTATTATCACAAACATCATATGAAAGACTCACATGATCAATAGTGTGTCTCACTGTGAGACTGTGCCTCACCCTATCACGTTACTTATTTAGGTCACCTGTCCTGCTCTTCTGCGTCGTGCCATGCATTTATAAAGATATAAGCATTCCACACTGCACTGGACAGCATATACTACATCCTTAAGTTTGTGTTTGGGAGTTTTGCCTCTGGGATGAACCAGTTTTTCCCTGAGGGAGTGGCTGGGTCGGAAGTACACTGGGATCCAGTGCAATGTGTCAATCCCTGGCTACCAAAACTAGTGACTTGGGTCATGGAATGTCACCTCTCTGATGGGGAAGGAGCATGAGTTAGTGCATGAGGTTGAGATATATTGACTAGGTATAGTGGGGCTCACCTCAATGCATGGCTTGGGCTCTGGAGCCAAACTCCTGGTGAGGGTCTGGTCTCAGTCTGAAGTTGTGCCCTTGATGAGAGGCAGCGGGCTGGGATGCGTGTCCTAGTATCCCCTCAGCTTGCTGCCTGCATGTTGCGGTTTCTCCCGGTGGACGAGAGGGTTTGTTCTCTGCAACTTTGGGTTAGGGAATGGGTGCTGACTGTCACCTGTGCTTATGCGCTAAATGACAGTTCAGAGTACCCAACCTTCTTGGAGTACCTAGGCAGGGTGCTTGAGGGTGCTAAATCTGGGGACTCATACGGGGAGACTTCAACGCTCATCTGGGCAATGATAGTGAGACCTGGAGGGGCGTAATTAGGAGGAATGGCCTGCCAGATCTGAACCTGAGCAGAGTTTTGTTATTGGACTTCTGTGGACCATAGTTTGTCCATAACGGACACCATGTTCGAACATAAGGGTGTCCATAAGTGCACATGGCACCAGGGTGGTTGGTACCTGTCATGGTAAAAACCCCCGAACCAAATGGTGGACACCAGAGGTGAAAGGAGCCACCAGAAGGAGTCCTATCGGGCTTGGTTAGCCTATGGGATATCAGAAGCAGCTGAAAGGTGCTGACAGGCCAAGCGGAATGCAGCTCGGGCAGTGGCTGAAGCAAAAAGTTGGGTGTAGGAGAAGTTTGAAGAGGCCATGGAAATAACCTTTGGACTGTCTCGAAGAGATTCTGACAATCTCTCAGGTGACTCAGGAGGGAAAGGCAGTGCTCTACTCGCACTGTGTATAGTGCGGGTGGAGAACTGCTAGTTTCGACTGAGAACATTGTCGGGCAGTAGAAGGAATATTTCAGTGGAGGAAGCAGAGTCTGGGGAATAGAGGATTATGGATCAGATTTGATAGACTCATCTATCAAACCCACATAGCAGACAGGTCTGGCCTGGATCTGGTATCAAGCTGGCACTGCTGGCTGACTTCTGGCATGGTAAGTGGTATGTCATCCAGATATGGGCCAGGCCTGGCAAGATGGCACTGTTTATGTGATGGCATGCCACATCTGGCCCGATTGTGGTTTGGGTTATGTGGCCCAGGCTCATAGAAAACAGGTCTGGCCCGGATTCGTCATCAAGCTGGCACTTCTGACTGACTGATATCATGGTATGGTGTATGTCAACCAGATGTGGGCCAGGTCTGACAATGATGGCACTATTTATGTTCCTATTTTCCTATTTTAGTTAGAAGACCCAAAATGCCATGTTGCAATACTATACTGCTATGGTAGCTAATGTTTCAAATAGAGGTTTGACAGGTTTCTGAGTGTACACTTTATCCAAAACCTAGTGACGGTTTACTCAGGTTCACCACTCAGTGGCTGTAGCTCAGGAGGTAGAGCAGGTCACCTACTGATCGGAAGGTTAGCGTTTCCATCCCTGGCTCCTCCAGTCTGCATGTCAAGAGTATGAATGTGTATGAATGTAGTTAGAAAGCACTCAATTTAGAAAAAGTGTCTGATTGGGTGAATGTGGCATTTTGTATAGAGCACTTTGAGTAATCCGGGAGAGTAGAGAAGCGCTATATAAGAATCAGTCCATTCACTATCTGAACAGAGTTTCATGTTACTTTTGCACTATTATGTTCCGGCACATGTTGTCATTACATGGCTTGATTAAGGTACACATTAGGCTGACATCTGGGGCCAGAGCTGAAACTGTTCTGGGCCAGCACAGGGCCAGCAGTGTGTGTGCAACTGGCCCGTGGCTGCGCACAACTTAGACATTCTTACGTATGTGGGCCATATGTAAGCACATTGTGTGGGCCAGATCCGGGCCATGCCAATTTTGCTATGTGGGAAGGGGATGAGAGGCTTCTCGGCTTAGGCTGCTGCCCCTGCGACCCAGCCCCGGGTAAGCGGAAGAAGAAGAAACTGGATGGATGGATGGATGGATGGATGGGTTTCGAGGTGATTTAGTTTGTGAGGGAGAGATGTTTCGAGTCATATCGAAATGTTATGAATTCTGAACTAAATCTGTTGTTTTAATCCTTTATGTTAAAAAAAGAGACAAGGGGGCTCATTAAAATATGAATTTGATACTTTTGGATGCCAGTAGCTTAAAGTAGAGCATGTCTTTAAAAGGTCTAAAGGAGGCATAAATTTAATTCAAGTCTTGAATTAAAACAGGAAAGTAGCTGCACACTAACCCTTCACAGTGACTGTCCAGGATTTTACATGTTTTGTCAGATCTAGATCTTTTTCACTTACACCAAATGATGAAAACATTTGTTCACAGAGAGAGGAGAAGTAATAGGAGTGGTGTTTGTGAGGAGGAGCAGCCGTCCTGCTGTGCTTTGTGTCAGGACATCCTGAAGGATCCAGTCTCTACCAGCTGTGGACACTGGTTCTGCAGACAGTGCATCTCCTCATACTGGGACCAGTCTGCTTCATCAGGAGACTCGTCTTGTCCCCAGTGTGGAGAAAGATCCAGAGCTGGACTGCAGACAGCCAGTCAGAGCAGCTGTGTACAAAGTAAGACTGAACATCTGTCTGCTGATGGACTCATTTCTGAAAACTGGACTTCTTCTTGTTGTTCAGACATTGAAGAGTTTTCTTTCTGTTTTTCTTTCTTTCAGCAGATGTTGGTCTGCAGGAGGTTTTAGATGAACATAAGATCAGTCTGAGGAGGAGATGTGAACGTGTGACTGAAGGAAGTGATGAAACAGGAAGTAAAACCCTTCTCAACACCATCTACACTGAGCTCTACATCACAGAGGGACAGAGTGAAGAGGTTCATACCCAACATGAGGTGAGGCAGCTGGAGACAACTTCAAAAAAGACTTTTGATGACGCTCCAATCAGGTGCCAGGACATCTTTAAAGCCTTACCTGACCAACAGAGACCCATCAGAGTGGTTCTGACCAACGGCGTGGCTGGTGTCGGAAAAACCTTCTCAGTGCAGAAGTTCACTCTGGACTGGGCAGAGGGCTTGGAGAACCAACATGTCAGTGTGGTGGTTCTGCTTTCATTCAGGGAGCTGAACCTGATCAGAGATGAGCAGTACAGTCTTCTGGAGCTGCTCCATGTTTTCCATCCAACATTACAGAAGGTCACAGCTGAGAAGCTGGCTGTCTCTCAGCTTTTGTTCATCTTTGACGGCCTGGATGAAAGCAGACTTTCATTGGATTTCACCAACAGGAAGCTGCTGTCTGATGTCACACAGAAGTCATCAGTCAGCCAGCTGCTGACAAACCTCATCCAGGGGAATCTGCTTCCCTCGGCTCTCGTCTGGATAACTTCCCGACCCGCAGCAGCCAATCAGATCCCTCCTACATGTGTTGACAGGCTAACAGAAGTACGAGGCTTCACTGACGCCCAGAAGGAGGAGTACTTCAGGAGGAGATTCAGTAATGAAGACCTGCCTAAAAAAATCCTCTCTCACTTGAAGACATCCAGGAGCCTCCACATCATGTGTAGAATCCCAGTCTTCTGCTGGATCACTGCTACAGTTCTGGAGCACATGTTGACTACAGAGCAGAGAGGAGAGCTGCCCAAGACCCTGACTGACATGTACTCACACTTCCTGCTGGTTCAGAATAAGAGGAAGAAGAACAAGTACCATGAGGGACATGAGACGAGTCCACAGGAGCTGACGGAGGCTGACAGGGAAGTTCTTCTGAAGCTGGGGAGGCTGGCGTTTGAACATCTGGAGAAAGGAAACATCATGTTCTACCAAGAAGACCTGGAGCAGTGTGGTCTGGATGTCACAGAGGCCTTGGTGTACGCAGGAGTTTGTACAGAGATCTTCAAAAGAGAGTTTGTAATCTTCCAGAAACCAGTCTACTGCTTTGTTCATCTGAGCATCCAGGAGTTTCTGGCTGCAGTCTACATGTTCCACTGTTTCACCAACAGGAAGACAGAGGTGTTGGAGGACTTCCTGGGACAAAAGTACAGTGGGTCAGCTCTGGATGCTTTCCTTAAACAAGCCATGGAAAAGTCCCTCCAGAGTAAAAATGGCCACCTGGACCTGTTTGTCCGCTTCCTTCATGGCCTCTGTCTGGAGTCCAACCAGAGACTCTTAGAAGGTTTGCTGGGTCAGACAGAGAACAGTCCAGAAACCATCCAGAGAGTCATCAACAACCTGAAGAAGATGAACAGTGATAAAATCTCTCCTGACAGAAGCATCAACATCTTCCACTGTCTGATGGAGATGAACGACCTCTCAGTACATCAGGAGATCCAAAAGTTCCTGAAGTCAGAGAACAGATCAGAGAGACTCTCTGAGATCCACTGCTCAGCTCTGGCCCACATATTGCAGATGTCAGAGGAGGTTCTGGATGAGTTGGACCTAAAGAAGTACAACACATCATTGGAGGGACGACGTAGACTTATTCCGGTTGTGAGGAACTGCAGAAAAGCTCGGTGAGTCCAGATCTGATCATTAGCATTATTGATCAGTGCTAATTAGTAGTTTAGTTAGTCTCAGGTTTCATGTTTCACCTCTCAGAGGGGAAGTCCAGATGCTTTTCTATCCAAGATCCTTAGACAACTACAGATGAACTATGAAGTGAGCATTGAAAACTGAATTTCTCCGTAAATGTTCTGCAAAGTCAAAATTTATTGATACTTCAGTCTTTAATAATTTAATTTCAGGGCCTCTTTAGTACCAGGTTTTAGTACTCAATTCTACTCAGAAAAATAATTAGAAGTTTGCATCTCCAGCCTCTACCAAACCAAATAAATAATAATTACTGCTAGAGTTGCAGTGCTGAAAACAAACATATTCCAAGCCCGAGATGTGGATCTTTTACATGCCCTCTCCTTTAGAATCTTTGATCATCATCCACAAAGAGAACAAATGAGGGCCATAACGATCAATAGCACTGGCTAAAAGTTGATAAAAAAGTTGGAACAATAACACCTGTCCATTGTTGGCCTGTAGCCCATGGCCAGGTCTGACTGCATTCAGTCTTGATCTTCCAGTAGCTACAGGTCCCAGTAAATCCCCCCAGTACTCTATCTGTAGGCTGATCAGCTCCAAGTCCCCAACATTTCACCAATGCCAGGTTATGACTGTTATCATTGGCAGGCCAATCATTTGAAATAGTAAACAAGCTATAACCCATTGTTTCCAGGTGGCTAATTTTTGAGGCATAGATGATAAAGTTAAATTTAAAAGGTATAAATCTCCTGATCCATCCACCTGTTCCAAATATGCACTCACTCCTCGTTTCAATTAAATTAACACTTTTGGTGTTACAGCAGCACAGCTGACTATGTGGTTTGCATCCATGAAACACTTGTTAGATTTTCTCTGCCAATGCCAAACAGCTTGCTCTGGTATTTACTTTTTCCGCTGTCATTTCCTGGATTGAATGTTTGAAGAAACAATTGGCCCATTTCGGGGAAATTTAAAGCTCATTAGCATGCAGAAGAACCAAACACAGGCACAACAGCCTGGCTCCACCTTATCCTGGTCACCAATTTGGTCACACACTAGTGTGGCATAGCATTTGTTACAAGTCAGCCAATGTGGTTGTATTGGTTACTGGCATGGACAGCACAACCAAGCTGATTCCACATGTGTGCAATGAGGTTAAGGTTAGGACTGCGGACAGGTCTTCCTCTCCACTCCCAAACGTAGTCGCTGATAAACCCCACTCTGTGCGTGCAAGTGTTGTCATCTGGAGGATAAGTCCAGGCCCAGACTGTGGAGATATGGGATTGCCACTGGTTACAGTATCTCAGTATCTCTCTGCATTGAGATTTCCTCCAATAATGCAAAGCCTTATTTTTCCAGTGAGTAAGATTCTGCCCCACACTATCACACTGCTTCCACCGAAAGCTGTTACCCGATTGGTGCAGCAGTCAGCATAGTTTCTCCTTAACCAAATCATTTAAATATGGTATACTTGGAGCAGACATCAACTGACCACCGTAGCAGGGTTCATGCTCACAGGCACCAATCAAGAACCTGATTAGCAGCACCTGGGCTACTAGAAGCTCAAAAGAAGAGTCAATAACAGAATAAGCTGTTTGGCACTGGCATAGAAGATTTGGCAAGATTTTTTCATGGTTGCAACCGACATACTCAAATCTGCTGCTCTACCCAAAAATGGATTGTTCTTCATTTCCTAAGAAATGGGCCACATTTAGGGAAAGATAGTCAGGATTTTCATGGTATAAGATCTATTGCCAAGAAGCAGTTATAGCAAAGGAATATTCTACCAACACAAATTTCCTTTTCTTTTGTGCTAAGTTTATATCCCATGTGTTACTTTTTCTTTAGTCGGACATTTGTAATAAAGTGCTATTTTGTATTTTATCAGAATTTTAGAGCTCAGTCGTCAAATTGTTCACACACCATCACAGATGAGATGTTTGAATATTATGATGTTACCCTCTTTTACCTTCATATACATTCAGTCTGTGTTTATAATGGAGAGTTTCTGCTTTTATACTAACATATTTAATATTTTCTCAAACTGAAGACTGAATTCTTGTGGTCTCTCAGAGACTCACTGTGAAGTTGTGGCCTCAGCTCTCAAGTCAAACCCCTTCCATCTGATAGAGCTTGACATGAGTTACAATGACCTGCCGTGTCCAGGAGTGAAGGTTCTGTGTGCTGGTCTGGAGAGTCCAAACTGTCGACTGGAGACTCTGAGGTGAGTACACTGACTGCAGCTGTTATTTTTCTATAGTTCAGATATTTGGTGGAAAGTTTGAAACTTATTTCTGTTCATATATGTTCAGGATGTTCAGGATGTGTCTGCTTTGAAATTTTTCCTTACCAAAAGTAACTACGACCTGCAGAATCCAAAAGACCAAGCAACTGTTTTTTTCTTTTGACTTATTGTCAGACTGTAGCAGGATTCATTTAATTACTGAGAGTCTTTAAAATCAGGTTTCTAAATCATCCTCACACACATCTTGAACCTCAGACTAAGGTACGGATTAGGATTGAGCCTGTAGTAGCTTTAGTAAATGCTATTGTGTGGAAAAATATGTGATGATAATGGTAAATGGCCTGTATTTATATAGCGCTTTACTAGTCCCTAAGGACCCCAAAGCGCTTTACATATCCAGTCATCCACCCATTCACACACCGGTGATGGCAAGCTACATTGTAGCCACAGCCACCCTGGGGCGCACTGACAGACGCGAGGCTGCCGGACACTGGCTCCACCGGGCCCTCTGACCACCACCAGTAGGCCACGGGTGAAGTGTCTTGCCCAAGGACACAACGACCGAGACTGTCCAAGCCGGGGCTTGAACCGGCAACCTTCCGATTACAAGGCGAACTCCCAACTCTTGAGCCACGATCACCCCATATGTTACAGATACTTGAAAGAATAGCATCGCTAATTAGATTTTAATTTACATGATTTATTCTTTCAAATTTACTCAAACTGCTTTG